GTCACTCGGGAAACAACAGACACCCTGTGATTCTCCATGTGATGGATCTAGGACACCCAAAACAGGGACAGGACACAGAACAGTGGTTGCCATGGCTCGGGGCAGGGAAGCCAGGAGCTTGTGTAACGGGCACAGAGCCTAAGTCTGAGGAAATAAAAAAGTTCTAGAGATTGGGCAACAGCACTTAACACAGAATGATTAAGTTGGTAAGTCTTATGTTGTGTACATTTTACCATGAAAAAGAAAATACTCTCTATTGCTGTCTGCATCACTCTTGTAGCATTTATTACCCGATACCTCATTATTTTAGAACTGTGTGCGTTTAGATCTTGACAGCCACTCTTTTCCTCCCCCCCTATAATGCGCGAGCTCTGAAGGCAGAAATCTCACCCTGTCGCTTTGGCCCCAGGGTTTGGAATGGTGCCTGGCACTCAAATAAATATTTTATGAACGTTTTTTAGGAACAGTATTTTTCTTTCAAAAACTTTTAGTTCTATTAATCCCAAGGGATTAATTGTGTTCAAAGCAATGTCCCCTGAATAAAACACAAGCAAAGTCCACTGTGAAAATCTAACTACATTGCCCGTTTCTTTCAAGTAGTTACCACTGAGTGGCTTGGGATACACAGGCTGCACAGCACTGTAGGAATGTAAGACAAAACACAAATCACAAAGCCAACTGTACTTTGTTTAAGTGGATGCCGTAGTGATCTCAGCTCTCTGGAGTTACCGGCCTCTAGCTGAGCTGTCAAGTTAGGAACTAACTAGCTATGTGCATAAATCATGGAAGCGGCTACTCAAGGCAGAGCACCTTATTTTTGAATGCCTGAACAGTGAAGACCTCGCCTGATCTTCAAAGCCACTCCAGCGCAGCCAGGCAGGGGTTGCTTGTCTAATGTAAAGACAAAAATGAGGATTCAGAGAAGCCAAATGATCGGATCAAGCTCTCACCTACAGAGCCTGTGCGTGTATTTGGAAGTAACCTTCAGAAGCCTCAGAAGCAAGCGCTCTGGAAGTGTGCGGCCCTTCCCGCAGAACTCCTGCAGGTCACCCTCCTAAGCGTAGGAGACTGTGCATCCGCAAGCCACACGGACACCCGCCCCGGGTGCAGAGGGCAGACCATGACTAGTGATCTTGCCACTGTAATAGAGCATGTTAAACCCAGTCTCATGGGTGCCATCGAGACACGAGAGCAGGGTCCCTGCGCCACCTGGGAATGAACACACAGAGCCTGGCTAGAAGAAATGGATGTAAAGGAGAGCACGACGTTAGTCGAGAATCCAAAGCCAGATTGCAGAGAATGCTATGGGCTCCTGAAAGAAAACGGTGGTTCTTGGGTTTTACATTTCCCAGCCGAGGAATGTTTCTAAAAGATCTGGGGTGATAAACTCAGATTGTTAATGTCAATACTGTAATGAAAATGCTAAAAGATAAATAAGTATTTTTAGTTGGCAGTTAACTCTGACCACTGGCTGCAGACAAGGCTCTGCTTTCGGCACCTGCTACACACAGGCCGCTCAAGGCTTCAGTTAGTGTAGGAGATGCACGACGTGGGGATCACCCCTGCTTTACAGGCAGGCAAGGGGTGTGCAGGGGAGCACAGCAGTGTCCCTGCGGCTACAGGTCTAGCTCCAGCCAGAGCCTGCTCAGGCACAGGTAGCCGGATGCAGAGCCTCTGTCCTCACCCGCGGACTCCAGCCTGGCACCACCCGCATTGTTCTTGCACCAGTGGGATGATCTCCTTGAACAAAAGCCAGGCGCCACATCTCACAGGAAGGCAGACCTTCCAGCGCAACCTACACAGCCATAACAAACCCTCCTCATCTGCCTCCTCCACTCAGGTTGTTGGAGAGGTCACTGGAGACCACAGAGCAGAACTCGATCAGCACGGCTGGGGGCAGTGGAGCGAGGACAAAGTCAAGGGGAGGCAGAGAGACCAGCAGGGAGGGAACACAGCGGGTGGTTTCACGAGGAAGAACAGCGGCTTCACAGAATCTTCGCACTGACAGATCTTCCTGCGAGCCCGCCCACTCCTCTGAGTTAAGAAATCACTTCTCCAAGGCCAGTTCCACTGCACGAGCAGCCCGGCAAAAAGCACTGTTCATAGAGAACTGTCCTTTGTGTCCCACCATCAGGCCTTTCCGTGTCCTCACCAGCCCTGCAAGGACCTGCACCTGTCCGATCCTGGCCACTCTTGGCCCAGACAGAAGCTGTTTGCTGTGTGCCTTACAATGCAGGGATGGAAACACATGGGACCCTTGTGGGATCCTAGTCAGCGTGGTAGAAGAAGACGGTTGCTGCCTTCAAGATGGGCATTGGCTTTCCTAACACAACCTAAGGTTGTGGCGTGGGAATTTTACTTTTGGAGGGTCTGGGAGGCATTAGCCTCAGAAGGGGGTTTAATACCATATGGACTATACAGTAGACTGACGTGCACTTAAGACCATCCCCCAATAGCTTCCTGTTCAGTGCAGATAATTGTTAGGGATCTGAGTCCATGTCTGTTTACATCACACAGTGTGAGTTACATTTACTTGTTATTCTCTTTGCTCTCTTAGACTCACCCTCTATCAAGCCTGCTCAAGGACGTTCTCATCCACCACTGTAAGGCTTGGTCTCTCCCAGGCTTCTGAGAGCCTTGGACTGCCCTGTGTAAAGCCTGTGAATGCTCCAGGCTGTCTGCACACGGCTTGGGTCCAACAGGGAACTTTCCAGCTCTCGCTTGTAACACCCATCTCCTGCCCTCCTGTCCAGCTTTCCACAGGCCAACACAGATGGCCAACAGCAATGACCAACCCTATCAAAAGCCTCAGGCCAAGGATAACGGTACAGTGTTTCTTCCTATAGTAAAAAGCCTCATGTCACTTGACTTTCTTCACCCACCTGTTTCCCCTCTTATTTCTAACTATGAGTCCTAGTTTTTTATTTCTTAAAAGGGGCTGCCAATCTATTATCAAAGACTCTGGCTCTTCGGGAACTATATATCTACACATTGTGCAGAGGGATCAAAAGGCTTCTTAGGGAGAGCCTCGTGCATTACAATTGGGGGAAATGTCTCCCGCAATATATCAATAGCTGACATGCACAGGCACAAAACCAAGAGAAATGACAATTGTGGGAAAAAGAACAGGACTGGAAACAAGTAGTAGCAGGGACCAGAATGAGCCAGGTCTCATTCTCTCTCCAGTGGGGACAATGGAAGTATAACGGTTCTTTTCTAGAGAGATGGCAACTGCATACAGTATTGCCAATTCCCAAACAGGGGTCCTTCCGATAATGCTGCAGTGATTTCAGCAGCCCATACTTAGAGACGAAGGGGACACCTCCGGGCTTCAATTCACTTCTAGACTGGGGATCTCAGTATCTGGCTTGGAGACTTCACAGGCAGTTGTAAAATTAACAGATCAGAAAATAAGTGCCTAAAATGTTCTGGGCAATGTTACGCTAAGTCACTGTTTGCATTACAACAGGCAAAACAGAAAGAAAGGGATGCTCCAGCTCAGTAAGACAGATGACAAGATTTAGAACAGAAAGGCTGGCCAAGACTAATGACCCCACCTCCCTGGCACCAGCAGACAACACAGTGGGCAGCCCTTCGGGGACAGCACTGACCCCAGCAGTGGGGCTGTGAGGACTCAGTGGGACTGGAAAGAAGCATGGCAGAGCCACATGCTCACCGGTGGCCCTTCCCCACTCCATCGCCAGGATCCCCAGAAGCAGCACTACCAGCAACTCCAGCAAAAAACATTTCCCCATGAGTGCTGAACTCAGGGGCCCAGTAGAACCCACACCACAATGAAAAGATACCAAAAACTGCAACAGTTGAAGATGAATAATTTCTTCTACTCCTCTAGGATAGAATCAGAAGGTACTGAGTACAGTAGTCCCTGAGCTTTTATGGGGTGGGAGGTGTGAGTTCCAGGACCCCCAAGGGTCTGATCCTCCTGGTGCTCATCTGAAGCACCCATCTGGAAGGCAGTACAATTTACACATCCGAAATGGAGCAGAATCTACACAGAATCTACACACCCTTCTGTGCACTTTACACCTTCCCTTGCTCGCTTACAGCTCATACAATGTGAGCACTGTCAATAGTTGTTATAGAGCATTGTTTAGGGAATGATGACAAGAACAAAAGCCTGTACACATTCAAAGTAGATGCAATTTTCCCCAATAGTTTTGATTAAATCTGTGATCATGAAACTCACCAATATAGAGGGACAACTGTATTTTTAAAATTTGGAGAAGAAATGAAACATACTAACACACATCTTCTTAATGCTACAAGAAGATTAACTCCACGCAACTTCACAGACTATCCTCTCATGGCACACAAAATCGGACACAAGGACTCAAGTCCATGTTAAAGTGCATGTGAGGACCCCAACACATTGCTGCTCCAGGTAAGCAACCCTGGAACCTCCAACAGGAGCTTCCTTCCTGCTCTGACCTTTACAGAGATTTACATTTCTCTCTCCGCCAACGCTACGTGCAGAATGGGTTTAGCACAATCAGCACGTTGTAACCTAAGGACCCAAAGGCTTCGCACAGCCCACACATCTCTAGCGTATGTTCTAGGTGGGTTCCTAGTCATGGCCAGCAGTTCCCGGCACACACCCATCAATAACGTACAGCTTCCAGTTGTAAGGTGGACTGCGTCACTCCAAAGCCCCCCCACCGTCGCAAGACAGTAACTGTAGACTGCAAACCAAGGGGCTTCTGTGATGTTACGGAACATCCTCGTGTGAACTGTGCAGCATCCAGAACAAGGTGCAAATTAAGAGGGGAGTCAAGCCGGGAGACACCAAGCCTCCAGGTCGTGGGTTCCAGTGGCCCCTGGTTGTGATCCCCCTCTTCTCAGGGGATGCGAAGATTCCCATTTATATACAGTGCATGAGGGACTGGGGAGACTGGAGGTACCCTTCATAAGATGAGCTTGATCCCTGCCAGTCCACCCAGACAGACCATGAGGTCCAGCTGCAGGATCTCGGTGGCACTCACCTGCACACTTGGTTCTCGTCCTGAGAGCTGGCCCAGGAGACCCCGTGCCACCCTCACCCGGCCTGGTGAGCAGCACGCTGATCTCATACTCTGTGTCTGGGTCCAGGTGTCCAATTTTGTAGCTGGTGGAGTCCACAGGCTGCCGGTCACTCCAGCTGCCACTGGCCGTGCAGTACTCCACCTCTCGGGCCACGATGGCCCCGTCGCCATTGATGGAGTTGGCGTTGAGCTGGATCCACAGGTAGGTGGCCCCCACCGAGGCCAGCTGGGGAGGTGCGATGGGCACGGGAGGCTCTGAAAGGAAGACAGAGATCGACCTTCAGATCATCCTTCTGCCTCAGCAAAGCTAAGCACGCACTGACCAGTGATTAACACGGAGAAGGCACAACAAGGTGGGGAGGGGGCTAATGAGAGTACGAACACACATACTGGTAAAGCTTCTGCCAGTTCAGTTATAAAACAAACCCGCTTTGAACAGGGTGTGGTGGTGCACACCTGCTGGCCCAGCCACTTGGAAAGCAGAGGCAGGAAGATCACTGGAGCCCACAAGTCAGAGGCCAGCTTGGGCACCAGCTACATAGTCATCAAATATTTCTAATTCCTTTCCCAAAACGTAACTGTACAAGCACTCGCAAGTGGTGGTATTAAAGGGCTTGTAGGGTTTTTCGCTGAGAAGCGCCTGTAGGCTTCTTCACTGCTTTTCTGAGACCACGACTCTTTGAAGTACAAATCTGTTATTTTGTACAATGGTCTCCTGGTCAGCTTCCTCACTGAGAACTTTTCTGAAATAATCAGAGGCGTTAAAATTCTCTACACAGTTAGCTTGAGCACCCTCATACTTATCTTTCCAAGATATCACCATTTTAAAAACATAGCTGAAACTACAGTTCACCTCATCATAAACTCGTTTCCAGGACGACCCTTTCCCAAACTACCGCAGTGGACTCAGTGAGAAGGACAGCGTTCTGGAGAGTAACGTCCACCGCTGCTGCTACTGCTCAGTGGACGTCCGGCAATGACCCTTCTTAAAGCAGAGAACAGCAAGGAAAGCCCTGAATCAAAGAGCAAGCGATGCCCTGCTTGATAAAAGCCTGAGAATCAATAGCCAACACTTGTACCAGGTCAAAGAAGTCTCTTAAAGCCGAGACCAATTCTTTCCCTATTGTGTGACACGGGAGAGACAGGCCCTCTTATCCCAGTTTCCCCAGTATATCAATTAGATGTGAGCTGACACCCATGTCACCGTGAGTGGCACCACCTGTGACGAGGAGACCACTGTACAAAATAACAGATTTGTACTTCAAAGAGTCATGGTCTCAGGGGCTGGGGATTTAGCTCAGTGGCACAGCTCCTGCCTGGCAAGCGCAAGGTCATGAGTTCGATTCCTGGTACCGGAAAAACAACAACAACAAAAAAAATAGTCATGGTCTCAGAAAAGTATCACACGGGGTCGTTTTTCTGGCGTGTTCCCACAGGTGGTCTGTGCCCCTTTGGTGTGTTTTTGTTTTTCTGCTCAGACTACCTGTCCCTAGGAGGTGGAGGCTTGCTTGCTGCAGTTCTTCCTGCACTCTCTGTGGCAGATGGCAAATCCACCCCAGACTCATTTCCAGCTCTCAGGGAGCAGGTTCCATCCGAGGCCACACCTGAGATGACCCCAGGTTGAGTACGAGACCCCCTAGGAAGCTAGCAACACTACTGTCCCCTTTGCTGGGGTGGGTGTCTATGTTATTTATTATATTCAAGGTGTGATAAGTCACACCTACTATAACAGAGTGAGGGAAATTTCATTAGATTGAGTTGAAATAAGACACTCAATTTTGAATGAATTTTACTGAAGGGATGACAATCATTGTGTAAATGTACTAAAACATTGTTCCTGCCGCTTTTATACTGACCGTCTATGCTTTAAACAGTTGTGACTGAACCCACAATGATTTAATATCAATTTATATCATTAGGCAATTCCATGACAGGAAATGGGCCTTCTATAGGACATCCTAGGGCACTCGAGTAGCCAGGATGAAAGACAGGTTAATTACTTTCAAGTTGCAATTGCTAGCAAGGGTTGTTGAACTGCCATTCAAGATACAAATCAGGGGCAAAGGGACAAAGAGCGAGGGGCAGGGTCACTCACCCAGGAGCTTTTAATAGTACCCTAACACAGACATGGCTTTAATGAGAGTGTTCTCGGAGAATAATTCCTCTACTAGTTCTATACTAATTTCTATATTAATTTCCCACTAAGAAAAGTAATTCACATGCTAAATCAAATGAGATTCAACTAGAACTTGGAAACAACTGGGAAACACATCCAAAAGAACTTTTTGTCTGTGTGTGAATCAATACAATGATAAGTCAATATTTAAATTAGGAACACATTTTTCACAAAGGGAGAGAAGAAGGAACAGGAAGGAAGGATGGATCTCAATCTCTCCAAAGTGGAAAAAAAGTAAAAAGCAATTTGAAATATTTCTTTTCTTTGTGAGAAAGGATCTCATTATGTTATGTTTCCCAGGCTGTGTGAACTCAAAATCCCACAGGTGCAGCTTTCAGAGTGGCTAGGATTACAGGTGCATACAGATGCACTGTCTTGGTTACTTTTCTCTCGTTGCTGAGACAAAATACCCAGTGCCCAAAATGAAGGAAGGAAAGGTTTATTTAGCTCACAGTTTGTGGAGGTGTCACTCCATACTTGGCTGGCTCCGAGGCAGAAGGTAGCAAACCAACAAGAGCAAAAGGGGGAATGGCAGCCGAACAGCAAACAGCCAGAGCAAAAGGGAGGAATCCCAGCGAGCAGCCTCTTTCCCTCCCTTACATTCTAAACAGACTACCCCCACCTAAGGGGCGTGTAGCTCTCACATAATCTTTGCCCTCCTCTTGCACAGGCTCAGGATGTATACAAAGTAAGCACCCTGGCTTCCTGCTAAGTCACTTAGCCAAACCTCTAGACTCCCCAAGTTGACACAATGTATCACCATAACATGCACCAAGCTAAAACTTTAATTCAAATGAGAGGACTCCATAAAACTAGTTCTAGATCAAATCAGTAACGAGCGACTTGTATACCAGTGCACGGAATACACACATCTCCACAGACTTCAGATTTGTTTCCCCATTTGTAATCCCTCAGCACTTCAAATATTATGTGCATGTAAAAAGTGCTAAGTTAGAGAAAAATAGCCTAAGCATGCTATTGTTTACCATAAAGCAATTGTCTCAGAAAACATTATTAGACTGGTAGAACCCAGCATGTTATCTTTTTTTTAGAAATGAAGTCTCTACAGAATGTGGCTACACTCTTACTCATGGGGGGAAAGACAAATTTCAGAGTGAGCCCTGAGGACAGGACAGTCTCTGTCGCCGGCTCGGGCACTTGCCTCAGTGAGCCTGAAGGCGGCCACTTTGTCCCGAGATGGGAAAATGCAGCACATGGCTGTGAACAAGAATCCTTCATCTTTGTGTCTGCAGACAAGACACTTCTCATTTTTTATAGCTCCCTGAAATTAACTTTCCTGCAGATGTAGTTTTCAGATCGGCACTATAGAGAGCAAGGCAGCACTGAGGCCTGGTCATCGCGGGGCCCAGAGAAGCAGAACAGCAGCTCCAAATGGCAGAGGAGAAAGAATCCCAGAGAACCGAGCCAAGGAGAAAGCAAGAGGGCAGGGGAGATGACGAGGGGGCCCACGAGCTCAGTGGGGGCCCTGGGCCTGCTCTCCAGCAAGCCTGGGTGCTCCCGCGGGGCGGAGTGTGGACGGTAAGGAAGTATTTCCATTCTGCTGTAAGTGTGAATCCTGAACTGCAAATGTGAGCCAGGCGGGCCAGTGCCAGTTTCACTATAAACCACAGCACTTAAGAATGTGGTGCAACTGACTGTTGACTCCAATAGCTGCTTTAGTGTGCAACCCCTCCGGCTGAAAGGGGACCCTAAGTGTGTTCCCATGAAGCCCGGGGCTCTCCTGGCCTCCTGCTCAACTTGCCCTTGACTGTCCACACTGTTCCAGGTCTGCACATGCGCCTTGGGCAGTGTACACTCAGCCAGCACCAGCAGCCCCTTCAGGAACCTAATGTCGTGGCAGCTCTCAGTATGCACAGAAACAGAGCATGGCCAGCGCAAGCCCCTGGTCCCGCCCACGGAGCTCGTCCTGGGATTTGAGCACAGTATATTTTGGGGAGGCTGAGGGAGGAGGATAACAAATTTGAGTCCAGCCTGGGGAAATTAATATGTTAGCAGGATCCTGTCTCAAAAAAATTTTATGAAGAGCTGGGGATGTAGTTCAGTGCAAAGATCCTGAGTTCAATCCCAGTACGGCAGGAAGGGCCTCCCTGCAATGAAGAATTTGCTGGTATAGGAAGTAGCCCACTGTAAGAGGATCAATTTTATGATCCCTATTTAACCAATGCCCAAGAAAAGTTTAAAAATAGAGCACAGGGCTTGGCATGCAGCTCAGCAGTAGGACAAGTGCTCAGCTTGTATGGGGTCCTGGGTTCAATCTTCAACACCAAATAAGATAAGAAAAGGCATCACTCTATCCTCCTAGGAAATATAGCAATGGCCTGCCACAGTTGTCTAAAAATGCCTCATGGTACATCTAAAATGCCCCAATTATCCTGTCTGGGACCAAAAATTGCCCTAGTAGCTTAATACAATAAATTCCATAGCCCACAAGAAAGCATTAAACCAGCTAAAGGAAATTATTTTCCTCCTCTTTTGTCCCTCTTCCCCCACCTTGCTGAATATAATGACTCAATTTTCCGGTCATGCAAAATATAGTAACAGGACCTAACTGGGACATTATGAATGTTAACACAGGGCCATCAATATGGCTTGTGTGATATGACAGAGCATTTTATACTGACACGGCTTCCTTTTATTAACCACTCTGATGGCCTAAACACCCTGGCTGGTGAATATTTGCATTTTAAGTGATTTTCTATCTGCAAAAAAAAATTTTCATTCCTTAAAAAAATTTATAGGTTGTAATCTGTATATAGAGAGCTGGCAGAAGACCTTGCCAAGAGCATATTCATTGCTTTGTATGCCACTAAACCAACATAAATAACCGACATTTTTCAAAAAAATATTGCTCCCATGCAAAATTTGTACTTAAAATGCAATCCATCGGCATAGCCTGTCATCAAACTCCCGTTCAGAAAGAGGCAAGAATAAGTTTGAGCTTTAAGCAAATAATGAACTAACAACCAGCTAACAGAGCTATTTCAAAGGAGTATTTCACAGTATGAAAACATGTTAAATACCTTTAACGACCAGTTCTGCATAGTTTGATATCCCAACCCCTCCTTCGGTGCGGATCATGCAGCGGTACTTCCCGGCGTCGCGTTTGGTGGTGTTCACCACACTAAAGGAAGCCATGAATCTTCGAGAACTGGTCGCTTTCATCTCCTTCAGCGGAGCATCGGGGACATCGATGCCCTGTATCATAGGGGTGGGGGGGACAGGAAGGAGCAACATGAGCTGTCGAATCAGAACCGCAAGACACCTGAGGGCGCATAGGCAATGTCACCATCAGGCACCTCTCTGCTCCCTTGTCTGCCACCCAGGGTGGCTACTTGAGAACAGCTGGTTGTGAGATGCTGGTGTGATCACCTCTTCAAAGATCACGGGAGGCAAATTAAAATGAAGTGTGCAGAAATGTCTTGTTTTGACCCTCTCATGATATTGTGTTAATTTAGTGCAACTGGGGGGGGGGGTGCAGAAAAACAGCATGAGGAAAATCATCTATATTTTGTTCCTTCTCAATGTCTGATCTTTTCATTAAACTTCATTTTTTATGCTTGGCCAGTAAGCAAAATTAATTCATCTGGTATCCTATTACAGACCTCATTTTATATATGAGCAAACAAATAATTTACCAAGAGTAACAGTAAAATGTACATGAGCTATATTCCCAGTGAGCAGGGCTGGAGGGCGAGTCCAGCTTTACAGTGTTCTTCTCAGACTAAGAGCAAAAACAAAAAACCAAAAATAGAAGTAAATGTCTAAAAGTATTGCCCAGTATGGAGTATAACAAGAGCGTATCCTCTCCAGGAGGGCCTGCACTCCCCGGGCCACAGGAAGCAGGTTCACTACTGGGGCAAGTTTGTCCATTTTCATCCACAGATACAAGGTCTTTCAGCTATGCACACCTGGAAATCCACTGTATGCTTCCAAGAGCTTACAGCCCCCCTGTAAAAAACGGGATTTCCATTTTACCTCCCCCGCCCACCATGACAGGGAGAAAAATGACCTTGAACACATTACTTGTAATTATTCCTGGAAATCAATAGAGAAGGATCTCAAAGTGATGTACAGCGAGCAACATTTTGCCCATGCTCCTGGGGCGCCGACCTTGTGCTACCACTGTGCCTAGGTGAGCAGACAGAGGGCAAGCGCTGCGGTGCCTGCACCGACCCGGTGGCGCAAGTGTGGGGTGACCTGAACCACCAGTGATGGCAAAGGTCAGGCCCAGCAGACATCACGGTATGAGCCAGCTGTGCTTGAACAAGGAGGCCAGCGGGAAAAAGTGGCATGTGGACACTGACCAGGCCAAGGAGGAGGGTGGAGGAGAGTATTCTGGTCACAGGAGAAGTCCAGGAAGCCTAAGCGGTCAGGAAGAGCTGGCTGAGGTCAGGGCAGGCAGTGAGTGGAGCCGGGGCAGAGGGAGCCGGGGGACAGGGGAGCCGTATGCACAGAGGGACTCTCAGGCTGTATCCAAATGCTTTTATTTAGAGCTGAAAATGCAATGCTGCAAAAGAATAAAGCTCAGCTGTATCACTCTCAGTCTGGTAATATGCAGAGTCCTTGAAGCTTCCACCACCAAAATTCTCACTGGTGGCCTGGCCTAATGGACATGGTTTGGGGGTGAGCCTGACGGGGTGCCGCATCCACCATGACCTCTCAGTGACTTCCCTTAATGCGGCCGCTAGGACGCTCTCACAGTGCTGTCAGGAGGGATGGAAGATGCAGCAGGAAAACCGCTGGATGTCTAGCTCCTCCACACCCCTCCTGCACTCTGTGCAAATGAGCAATGGACCCAGGAGAAAGGCGGGCCAGCCGTCAGGATCCCAGCACTGGCCCTGGTCAGTATGAAGCCACAACATCTGGCCAGATGTGCAGAGGCTAAGGGCTTGCTCACAGGGAGCACAGTACTGCACATGGCCTCCCACAGGGGCGGTGCGGCTGTGACCTCACCGGACAGCGGGACGGGTTCCCGCAGCTCCCCGGAGCAGCTCTGCTGTGCGCGTCACTTGCAGGGCAGTGTGAAGGCGGCCAGCTGTGCGAAGACGGCCAGCAGAACTCCTGCTGCACCCAAGGAAACATCAGGAGCACGGAAGAAGGGTTCCGCCAATCTTAGTTTTAGCTTATCGGTAAAAATGGCCTTGTTTACAACTTAAAATACTGTAAGTCAGAATATATAACCCCACACGTCTTATATGTGTGTATTGTACTAACTGGCCTGAGCTTGACCTGAAAAACAGCACCAGGAAAGTTTGCAAAAGCATCACTGACACAAGAGGAAGGGCTCTCTGCACGGCACACAGTGATTTCCAGCAACAGCCCCTCCCAGCGAGCCCATTCTACCACTGGGAGCGGCCTCACACTCACCATTCCACACAAACGCAGTTTGCCTTTTTTTAAACTGACGAAAAGTAATCTCATTTTTACAGAAAAAATTGAAGCCCTAAAGAAGACAGATTCACATTAATGAGTGTTTTGTTTATGGCAGTAACAGAAAGGACAGAGGGCTAGCTGTTTACTACTCCCTTGTGGCATGGCTCTGCTAAGGATACACCACTGCAGAAAGCCTGTGTGTAGTACTTTTCCTAATAGAGGCACATCTCAAAAGGACGTCTATTCAAGAGAATTTGAATGCATGTGTTCAGTGACTCCTCACAACTCTCCGAGGTTGCAGCGGATCACTCTCACTCTGGTAATATGCAGAGTGATTAGGAAACCTAATCCAAGGATTAGGAAACCTCCCTCATGGGTGTGTGTGTAAGCTTTTGGGCAGCGCTGCCTTCACACCACATACTCACCCTGTAGCAGAAAGCGCCTCTGACCAGCCCTGATGTGCCCCCAGAACTCTCAGGAAACGCCATGTGTTTAACTGCACAGAAAGTTAGATGGCTTCCTTAGGAGACGCACAGAGAGGGAGGCTGGGCCTCAGGCGCCAGCGTCGCTGCAGTTCAGGATCCACACAGGAACATCAAAACACACATTCTGCGAGGCAGCAGATTGCTGGGTACTAAATCATTCACCCAGGCTTGGGTCGAAACATTCTGCAACCAAAACGTGGTGACCATCTTTCACGAGCCACGCACTGTCGCAGAACGGAGCAGAGGCTGGAAAGCAGCAGCCTTTACCTAACTGAGCTTGAAGACTCTTAGAGGGAGAGAAGAGCCAGGCGGCCATCACTGCAGAGCGGTGACCGGTCCCGCGGCGCACAGGCGGAGAGGGGCCTGCCCGGGAGGTGTCGCTGCCTGACCCAGGCTTGCAGCTGCGCAGTCGCCTTGGGCAGGGACAAGGAGGGGGAGCTCAGTGGAGGCAGGGCGCCAAGTATCCACTGGTGGCTGTGGATGAGGGTGGGACGGAAGCACAATACGGAACACTCAGAGTGTGAGCCGCTGAGGGCCACCACTTCTGCAGGTGCCAGGAGGAGAAGGACTTTAGGCAGACGGCCCAGCAGCCCCTCCGTGGGTACAAGAATGGACCCGAAAGAGTCCGGTGGATGCCATGGAAACTGTTACTGCTTCCGGAAATCATAGTGACAGAGGACAGAAAGACGAGGGCAGAGAGGAAAGGGAGGATTGGGAGAGGCTCAGGAAGCAAAGTCAGGGAGTGCATTCTGCTGCAGCAGGGCTGTCTCCTCAGCACTCCGAGGTCCTCCGGGTCAGGAGCCACATCTTATGTATCTTGTGTACCCAGGTGTAAAATGCACAGAACTAAAAACATCAATGTCTCTGAGGATCACGGCCTCAGTGGAAAAAAATGTTCCATAGGTAGAAGAGAAAGTGGGTTTCTCTTACATAACAGATAGATACCCCAAGCCTGAGAACCAGACACCTAAGTTCTACGTACAAGGCAGACCAAGAGGGTTCAAAAGAGAATATTTGTTACACAGATGAAACCTTTCCATCCTTTCTTTATTTTAAAATTGAACTTAGGAAGGGAGTATGCACCCAGGCAGAGGTGGGAGGCAAATACTCTGAAGATGGGCTAAGAGGATAGGAGCCAAGAATGTCAGAAGGACGCAGCTTCCAGCCTGGAACTTCCACAGGGACCCCACCACACCCTGATTTCAGGTCCTCTGACGCCATCACAAAGGTAAATCTGTTAAGTTTGGGGTCGTTTGTTACAATACTACAATGAATGCTAATTAAGAAAAGATGCTCAGCTTGCTGGCAGTGTACAGCAGTGGTACATGTAATCTGCCAGAGCTGGACAGCAAGCCTTGAGGTGAGGTTTGCTCTTAGCGTCCTGACAAGAGTTCTAGTCAGAAGGTATCACTGCCACCAAAACAGAAGAACAAACTTGGCGGGCTGACTCACACTTACTTCTTCAAGATGTACTAGAAAGGAACAGTAACTCAAAGGAGGGTGTAGTGAGGGCGTAAGGGCAGATATGGACCAACGGAATAGGACAGAAAGATCAGAAATAAACCCTCACCTATTCCTCCATCCATTTTTAAGAAGATTCTGAAATGCTTCTGTGGAGAAAGGGCAGTTTGCAACCTGTGGTGCTGGGGAAACTGGACACCGACATGCAAAGGAGAGAGGATGGATTCCTGCCTTATACCATATCCAAAAACAGGCCTAAATACCTAAACTCAAGGGCTAATATTATAAATCTCCTAGGAGAAATTTACACATGGGAGATGCTCTGCCACCTGGGATTGAGAACTGACTTCTTACATATGACGCCAAAATCAGAGGCCACACAAGAAAAGACAGATAAGTGAAAATTCATCAGCAAACTTTTGTTCATCAAAGGTCATGAATGAGGCAGCAAAAGGACAACCCAAAGAATGGGAGAAGGTATTTTCAAGTCATTTATCTAACAATGGATGAAGATTCAGAATAATTTAAGAAGACCTATAATTCAACAATAATTACAAAATTCAATTAAAATTGGGCAAAGGACTTGAGATACTTCTTTAAAAAAGATATACAAATGGCCAACTAGCCCATAAAATGATGTCCACCATCATTAGGCACCACACAGGAGCAAGTCAAAGTCACTGTGAAGTAGCACTTCACACCCAGTCAGCTAGTATTAAAAGTCGAAACACAGCAAGTGAGTGTGAGGATGGAGAGGATTTTGAACCCTTGTATACTGCTGATCGGAATCAGTCATTCATTGTAAGAAGTGTTCTGGCAATTGCTTAGTTAGAATGTCTACAGGCTGGTGTTAATGGAAGCAGACAGGGCCTAGCA